AAGCTCCGGTGTACGTAAATACCATATAACCGGACCGTCCAGCTCACGCTTTGAGATCCAAATGATCGGCGATGAGAATTGTTGTGGCATGTTGGGCAACGAACTCAAGTGCTCTCTGTGGGAATGGGTTGGGGGGGTTAAACTCATAGTGCATCCGAAAGAGTTAGGGAAAGGTGGGGGGGGGGGAGGGGAGCGGGAGGCCATTCAGTCAATTCCCGTCGTTGCCGTCTTGCTGGATTCTAGCGTGGCTTTTTGCCGGGACTATGTGTATCACGTTACCAACCTTTGCTATCATCCCAGTGATGGGGTGGTATTGGAGGTTCTGCGTTCTAGTCCTGTCATTATCGAGTCACTTGTATTCCCTATTTGCTGTCAGTCATATTTTTGTTATGAGTCCTGTCGGTCATGTGCATGTTGTATGCATGCTGTGGAGTGGGATGGTTTTGTTTATGCATCCCCGGAGTATATGGACGCACCCAACTAGGTGTATGCGTACATGCACTCGAGTACTCATACATGCAGACAACACTACAATTTGTACGTCCTTTCATACTTATCCGTGTATGCATACCTAATTGACATTACGTACACACGCAAACTCTTTCATATGCGTTTACCAATGCCTGTACTTACATTCATAAAAAAAACGAGTACATCCACACGTAGTGATATTCACTCTTCCATGTCTTATGCGTTTTGTGTCGCTTTGTCTGTAATTTCGTCTGGTCGTGTCACTTTTAAGTTATGTCCCGTTACTGGTATGTGACCTGTCCGGTACTGACGTATCATGTTTTGGTGGATGGTGTGCGTTGATGAAGTTCTTGCTGCTTACACCCTTCATTCCATTTGTTCTCATTAATGAACAGACATACAGCAACACAGTTTATGGTTTCTTTGATTGCACTGTCATTCGTACACTCACAAATATATAAGTATACACGCTCTCATATATATATACACACATGCACACTCATACCCACATATACATGCATACAGTAATACATTTAAATCCATGTACTCATTCATCTGTACCTTTCGCACAACTATATTCCCACTGTTCCGTCCACACGTGATTCCGTACCATCCACCTACATACACTGTGTCTTATGTATCCATCCTATACACAAATGCACTCATACTACACGCACTCATCCTTGTGTATGTGTCCATGTTCACATCTATGCACTCATCATACTTACACTATCTCTCTGACTCTAGGATGTCCGGGGTTACCATCTCATCAGTTCCTTCTGTTATACTGAGTAAATCCCTAATCTGGTCTTTTTATTTTTGATTTGTTTTAATAAGGTATTGTTTAACCAGTTTTTGGATGTCTTTATTGCTATCTACATTTAAACATTTGTTTGCAGTAATTTGTTGTTTGCGTTTTAGAAAAAAACTCCTCAATGGGTTTCCTCTCCAATTTATATTTAGTGCAGTTTATTATATAATGCTCTAGTGTATTATCTCCATCTTCTACCCGAAGAGCCTCCCCTTATCTTAGGTGGCCAGGTTTTTCTTGCTCCTCTTTTTGACTTTTGTTTGGTTGATTTTTGTGGCTATTGTTTTTTATAGGATGAGACAGCAAACCACAAGCTAACCCTACCATCAGTTGCCTTTCACGACATGCATGGTTGGGTGCAGTGTTACTATTCTTTGCTTCCCATTAGGGCTCCAGTGACATAACGATTGTAAAACAATGTCAATTATTGTATTTTTCAGTTACCGTTTATATTAAATAGAAAGAAGAAAAAATTACCTGCGACTCCATAAAGAAGGTTGATTGCAGTATATCCACTGCTGTCTTTGCATATATTACCTGGTGGGGCCCAAATCTCTTCCGAGATCAAATTCTAGAAAGCCATGTGAACTATCTTTTTTTTTCAATGCCCCTAGCGGGAACCGAGCCCTGGTATGTAGAGATATGAATTGTGAAACGACTTAACTAACTTCTAAGCGGCCGTTAACAAATAAGCTATCGTTCAGATAAAACAGTAGCAAAGGCAGAACTGGCCGCTATCGAGTTAATGTCAAACATGAAGGAGTGCGAAATCGACCGGCTCTGGTGAAAATGGAGTTAGCAACAGAGATAAACTATGGAGCTTGCAAAGTTTTTCTTTTTCTCCGATGAGCGATTGGTGTGCATATATTTCTGCATTGGTTAGTGGGGTGGTTGGCTGGGGATGTGGGGGGGGGGGGGGTGAACGGAGCGATTTCAAATACGCACACACACTCATATACATACATTTACACAGAGATGCTCATACACGCACACATGCATACATAAACACACCTAATGCAAATACTATGTGCTCATTCATCACACACAAACACCCACACACGAATACACACACACACACACGCACACACACACACCAGTGGCGAGGCTCATTTCGCGTATGCCCACTGTTTAGAAAAAAAAAAAAAAGCTGTAGCAGGAAAGAGCGTATCACAAGAAATTTTTATGCTCTTGGATTTGCTGTTGAGAGTATGCGTGCGCAGCTAACATTGTAGTATTAGTAACTGGTGGCTCTCACAAGTTAAGATTCTGCACGAGTAGTGTAAGTATGCAACCAGCATTCTTTTCGTCGTGGTAATACTGTTGACCCGTTTAAAGTGCTCGGCGAGAAGTATACCGAGAGGCATTGGGGCATATTTATAATAAATAGTAAACAGTAATAATAAACAATAAAATAATGAAAGTGTAAGCGACGATTACAGCCCATACATGTACGCCTCGCCACACACACACACACACACACACACACACACACACACACACACACACACAAACACACACACACAAACACACACACACAAACACACACACACAAACACACACACACAAACACACACACACAAACACACACACATCAAGGCACACGCTCATAGCTCGGAACATTACAGTGCTGCGACTGTACTGATGTGTATCTTACACCAGCAGTTCTCAAACTGGGTGTCGCGAGCGTATGCCAGGGGTGCCGCGGCAAAAATCAAGAATTTGTCTAAATCTGCTTGAGATCAGCGAAGACTGTAGTTTAAAACAGAAATACCGTGAAGGGATCCATGAACAGTTCTGGATGCAGGTGTATTCGGAAAGCAATGCTATTGACTTTGCTGCAGTGCATTCTCAACGTACGCTTATATATATATATAAATATATATAAAACAGATACAGGAGCAAAGTTTCTGGATCAAGTGATTTGAAGGTAACATTAACTAAAGGAAATAATGAAAAATTTCCGTAAACAGTTTCATTCATCGCATTAGATGTGCACTGGTTTTTCTTCTTTGCCTAAGTATTTAAACCGCTTTAAGGGTAGGTGTGTGGCAAAAAATGTTTGGCCTGACAAAGGTGCAGCAGGCAACAACAACAAAATTTGAGAACCGCTTTTCCAGACACTTCTAATACACAATTAACTGGTATCGACCGTAACAGCGAAAACAAAGTCTTTAAGCCCAGTAAGACGTTTCAAACAATCGTTTTCTCTGGCTGATTTATTTGACATATTGATAACCATTGTGTCGTCGGGTATTGGGCGTTTTACAGTGGATAAACGAGTTGTGATAAATTAAACCCGTACAGGCAAATATTGTGAGTTGCAACTTCTGGTTTCACCCTCTCAAAGTTACAATTCTATGTGTGTGTGTAAAGGTGTGTGTGTGTGTGTGTGTGTGAGGGAGAGGGGTGCTGTGTGTTCGTAGGCATGCAAGATCATTCATGCAGGCCGGCTAGTAGGTAGGTTAAGTAGGTAAGTATGAAGGTAGGTAGGTAAATATGCAGACAACTGGACAGACAGGTAAGTACTTGCTCAGGCCAAGAAGCGCAGACATAAGGGCAAACAGATTATAGACAGACAACTAGGCAGGTAGGTGGATAGACAGAACACACAGAATGTTTATCACAATCCCTTGTGGAAAGATTGACAGACTCCTGTTTCAGCATAACTAGCATACACTCGCCTTAAGCATACGGTTGCCATCCGAAGTGCTAACACAAACAGTCCGACATTAGAAATGCAGTTCCTCGTTGATGGTAGCAGAAGTCACCAACAGATCAGCAGTTGTCCACGCGACCAATTTTAATCACATACTGGCAACACCAACATTGCACGACAGGCAACGCACCATTTTCTGAATCTACAATTCACACCACCACATTGGTCACAGTCGAAAAAAACATTCCTAATGAAATCCGCAGCTCACAGTGTCACGCCATGCATTCAACTCAGAAGCTGGGCGACGAAACTATATCCAGTCTACAAATGGAGCAAAACTGCATCGGCCACCGTCCGGCAGAAGCAAACAATTTGCCTCGGCTCCAAACATAGGTTCACCCAGCCTCTAGGTAATGGGTACCAGAGTTAACACTTTGGGGTAAATGGAGGAGCGTCGCTGTAGATACGGAGTTAAGTTGCAGACTACAACACAGTTGGACAGTTTCTTATTAGCTGTTCCTACTGGTGGCAGACCACTTGTGGTTTATAACCGCATGCAATGACTTTGGTTCACATCTCCCGACTTTTCCTTTATGTTTACCTTTCGCTCCCCCATGACTGAGTCTTGCTACCAAAAGGTACTTAGCACAAAACAAACGTTGACTTGAGAAATCAACGGACGAGACAACAGAGTTTGAAAACAACTAATGTCAGCTTGGTTTTATGTTAACCTTGGTACCTTGTGTACAAGTTCCCTTGAGCTTTCTTTTAAATGTAATTTTTGCGTTTGAATCGCATCATGCTATATTTTCAAGTTTTAATATAACCAGACCTGAATGTTGACTGCTGTCGACTGTCACAGATTAAAACGTCAAAGAAAACTGAGCAACGTAAATAGTAAAATACGATAATAATTATTAATATTATTAGTAAAGTACCGACTAGCACTCAGAAGTCGGAAAAGAAGAATATAGTAGAAGAGACAGGAGGCGATTCTACGTTATCACCATAACTCAAATTGTATGAAAACAGCCACTGTATTACCTATTGTAGTTATCCGCGATGGACGACAGCGTGGATGTCCAAGTCACCCAGTCCCACTTTGGTGCTTTCGTCCCACAGTTTTTGCTAAAATTCCAAGGAGATGTGTCGCTGCAAAATTATTTCAGGTAAGAATTGAATTGTACACATCCACCTTCATGGAGGTCGGAGTCTGCCTCGATTTTTTGAAAGTTCACCTTCCATCACCATACACACACAAAAAGTGTTATTGTTATTAATTATAAAAATATAGTCGTTATTTAAAGGAGAGCCTATCTATTAATATTTAAATATTATATTAGTATTTAGTACAGTGCTCACCACATTCATTATACGGTAGGGTAGCGCAGGGAAAGACTTGTACCTTACTGTAATATTAAAATGGGTGTATGTGTACTTTTATGTTTTTTTTTTCTTGATGATACACCCATAACAACTGGATAACCCTTTGAAATTAAATATCCCTTCCTCTGGTATCTCACTGATGTTTCTGGGTCAGTTCTAAGTGGAGATTTTCACGAGTTAAAGTAAAAATAAAGAGGATCAGCTTCTGTAAGAACTGAACTCACTAACTTACTGAATTCGGAACTGAATTGAACTTATTGCCTTTAGAGTGTGAATGTAAACGGCTTGACCACTTCACCACACTCACCTCCAGACTTTTTTTTTTTTTTACAGTTTAATGTGTTAAAAACTGAACAGTTAACAGTTAACTGATGAACACACAATTTCCTTTTCTGTTTGCAGGCAGCTTCTGAAAACAAATTATCAGAAAGGAGTTGGTAAGTTGAATTTTTTCTTTGTTGCCTGCTACCTCTCTATGTTGTATTTTTTCTCTGTCCTGTCAACTCACCCTGGTCCATTGTAAGACTTGTTCATGATTAGTCAGTATTTTTCAGGCAGTTCTTTATTTTTATGTTTTTATTATTATTGAATAGGATGAAGGAGTCACCGTGGTGGAGCGGCTGGACGCTTGCCTGTGGATTGGAAGGTCGTGGGTTCGCTCCCTGTAGGAGCCTGACTTTTTTCAAAAATGACCTTGGCTGCCAGGTCAACCCAGCCTTGAGTGGGTATCGGTTGCAGTCCTGGGAAGTAAAGGTGGCCGGCTTTATGCTGACCACATCACCAATCTTGTGCCGATTGGTCTCTAAAATATAGGTCTAGCCGTATATGCCTTACACGCCTCAAGGCGTGGAAAAAGGTCCTTTACTTTTTACTAATAGGATGAGGTAACTAGTTTCATGATAACTATTCTTACTTGGTTTGTGTGTGTGACATTTACCTATTCATGTTCCAGACACGCTACATAACAAAAATGATTCTCTCTTGCCGTGTCGAAGTTGCTCTATATTTCTTAATCTTTTCCAGTGCAGCTAGGCTTTGGCCACTGCCAGGTCTGCTGCTCGACTCTGACATACAATGACAAACCACGACTGAAACCTAGCCAGCCCATGACCAGGAAGGTGAGCACAATTCTGTCCAGATCTACAAAGCAGTCTTTGGGAAAGTATAGTACATACGTTCTTCAGAAGTTCTTGAGAAGCTCCACTCAATTGGTAAGCGGCTGACACTATATTGGTGTAATGCATTAGATTGGTTTAACCTTGTCGCCAGAGAAAGTGGTTTTTCTGGCATTTGAAGAAATTCGAGGACATGAGGTCTTTGGGAAAAGGCAGCTATATCTGTATAATTGCTTTAGTACTGGCTGTGGCATAATATGTAGATGTGATGCATATGATTATATTTACACCTCCCTCCCCTTTTTTCTCCGAAAAAAATTAAATATTATTTCGGGTGAAAACAAGCATGTTATTTTAAAAATTGTCACATCATCGTTAGGGCATAACACCTCATTATAACATCACTTTGCCCCACATGGCTAAGTCAACAAAACCACATTTATCATGATCTCAGGGAAGGAAAGCAGTTAATTCTTTGCTCTCATTGCCCCACATTATTTCACTCATAAAAGTAAACTAAAAAAATGTTATATGAGTTATTTTAGTGATTTGACAGCCGCAGTGTCACAGGGGTCATCATGTTTGCCTGTTTGCTGGGTAGTCATTGGTTTCATCTTCCTAGATTTATATAACAACAGACCAGGACTCCACATTTCTTCTCTCCCTTTAGTTTCCCAGGGTTCATTCGTTCATTCAATTTCAATTAGAATCCTGTTCTATTGTTTGTTGTTGTTGTTGTTATCGATCCAGCGGCGCATGAGCTTTCGTCCTTTGGCCCAATGCCATGTAGTGGAATTTGCATGTTTTCACAAGCTGTTCTTTTCCTCCGTACAAGGTGTTCCACTTGTCTGGTCTCGGAGGAAGTAGCATTCTTCTAGTCCCGCTGAGTTTTAGGCACACAAGAGATGGTGTTCAACAGTTTGTTCTATTGTTTCTACATCACATAAGACTCACCGTGTATTTCTCCACTCTGTTCATTCCTGTGCAGTTTTTTTTGGGAATCGGTGGTTCACACGATATTTTCTTCTCTGAACATTTTTTTGTATGTCATGCCACACAGGGAAAGCCTGCTGGGTTTGTAATCATATCTTTTAACTCTTCGAGTCCCAGGTTGGTTGCCACCTAATCGCATTCTACCAAAGAATTCATTATTTAAGCCAATAAATGTTTGAATCTGAAGTAGGTAAAATCACAACAGCATGAGAAAGAAGCATATAAAGCAACAGTTGAGGCAGAGCCATTTCACATAATTACTGAATCACAAACAGAAGGTTGAGATTAGTATATATATCATGTAAGATCGCTCAGCAAGGGCATGGTGACTTGCATGGAACTGAATAATTTGGTCAGTCTAGATTATCATTATCTCTAATTTTAGTAAATAAGGCTTATCGTCACTTCTAAACTTATTCACAATTGGCAGAATATATCTGTAATTTACATAAACAAAATTATTTTAAAATTCTTCTGTAGTAAACTGTTCTGATATCAACTATCCCTTCCACGATTTCTTTTCATCAGACAGTGAGATGTCCAACTTGTGATACTGTCAATAAGCGACCCCTCATCACAAATGAAGCCAAGCTGGCAGTAAAGGAAAAACTGATCAAGATGTGTGAGTTTTTTCCCCTTATGTAGTTGAGAAGTAGAATATTTTTACTGATTTGTACATCTACAAATCCTTAATAACGCTTTGTGTGTATCAAATACTGAGTTTTTGGATTTTTTTTCATGGTTCTTGTTACTTTGGAGGTTATCTATAAAGTAGTATGTTTTTTTCTTGTTTGCATTAGTTTTCAAAATTTCCCTTTATTTATTTGAAATACACATAATTTGTTTTCTTGAAATTATTTTAAATATTTATTCTGTTTATAGCCATTTTCATTTATTCAGGTTTGCCATTTTGCACATTTCTGTTCTAGCTGAGATGGTCACCCAACCAGACACCAGTGAGATCATAAAGAAGAAGAAGAAGAGGAAGAAGAAAAAGAAGAAACAGAGAGATAATAACAGGTTGGAAGTCATAATTTATTTTATCTTTTTTTTTTCTTCTTTTATTTCAGCATTCCTGAATACTTTGGGTTTATTGCTGCAGATATCGCTCGCCTCCATTCGTCTTTTCATTGTTTAGATCATCTTCATTGCACATAAGACATGACCATGAGTGCTCCGATATGCTTCTGACTTTCTCTCCAAGTGTTTTTTAGGCTAACTACTCCCAATCATTCTTCTCTGTGATTGGCCATCTTTTTTTCCAATTGGTGACTCTAAGTGTTTATAAATCTGTAAGAATATTACCTTCTCATCATTTGCTTGATCTGCCTTGTGATTCACAAATTGTGCGCCGTGGTGACCTCTACACGAGTTTTCTTTGTTTTGATCTCTTACAAACAAATAGTCATACTTTTACTTAGGTTAGGGCGCTGTGGAAAAATTTTAATTGAAAAACGGCGCCGCAACTAAGAAACGTTTGGGAAACTCTGCCCTAACCACTGTAGTCTGTTAACCCTCGTGATGCCACCAATAAGTGGTGATTTTAACAGGTTATCTTCTTCTTCGTGTTCACCAGCTGTACACCCTGGCGGAAAGTTCTGGTTGCTCGTTCACTTCTGAACTGCAGTCCTGCTCCAGAACCTGAGTGTTTTGTGTGCATCAGTTTTACAAATCTCATTCTCTTGAATACAGACTGTTGGTTCCTTGCCTCTCCCGCAGATGCATTCCGACTTCAAAGGAAGCTCCCCAATAAGTCGACTCTTACGACATGCTTTTGGGGAGGCAGTGGGTCTATTCTTGTTTTCCCCCACAATGGGGCCCAGGACCCCACACGGGGAGATCTGCCTTGTGATTCCCAAACTGTGCACTGCGGCGCCCTGGGGAGCCGCAACCTCTTTACAGGGGCGCTGTGAAATATTCAGAGATACACAAGTTTTATTTGTTTTGATCTCTTAATACAAATAGTCATACTTTTACTTAGGTTCGGGCGCAGTGGAAACATTTGAATTTAAAAAAGGCACCGCGACTAAGAAATGTTTGGGGAAACTCTGCACTAACCATTGTAGTCTGTTAACCCTCATGATGCCACCAATAAGTTGTGATTTTAACAGGTTATGAACTCTATTTTTGCTTCTCACTCTTGATTCTGTGCTGTTTTTAGGTTTCTTCTTCTTCATCATTTAAGGTTGACCACTTTCAGCTGGGTCAGAAAACATTGCTGCTCTCTGTCCTGTCTGCTATATTTGTGGTGACATTTCTGGTCGTCATCTCATCTGGTTTTGAATTGTGCCTTGTTTTTAGGTTTTTTTTTATGCATTTATGTTATGCATCCACAAATTTTAACGGTAAACTGAATTGTTCTTTTTGTTACTTTATTTCTCAAGAATTGTATATTCTATATCTCTTGATACAGCTGTATCATTCTGTGCATTCTTCTTATTTATGTTAAACAGTTGTAAACTTCTATGGAAACTCTTGAGTTTTCCCCATCCACTTCTGGACTTTGTTTGTGTTCGGGGACTTGAATTTTGTGTACAAATCAACTTTACAGAGCTGTATTATTTGTATGCAGACTGTTTGGTTCCTTGCCCATCAGCAGATGCCACCCAGCTTCAAAGGAAACATTGGTCTTGTGTACTTTAAGACCAGGCTTGTGTTTGGGATCCTGTTTCATGGATGATCAGAGGGAGATGTGGGTCGGTGTTGACCATTTTGTGCCCTATTTGTTTTTATTGTTTATTCCATGGATCAACATCATGGCACATGGGTGCAACCCCTAAATGCTCCATTCTACTTCTAACTCAAGCCTGAGTCTGAAGTTTTTCAGCGCAGTGCATATACTCTGTTGCACCGGCGAGAATCCTAAATACTTTGGGTTGATTTTTAGCTCCAAATTTTACCCAATTCCAACTGCCAAGGTATAAATACATGAGAGATTAAAACAGGAATATAGCGAGACAAGAATGCTGGCCTGATCCGTGATTCTTGTAATCGCAGGAGAAGTTGAAATATGACAGTCTACACTTTACTGTTGCGGCGTCCGTGGCTAAGGCGTTGCGAGTCTGACTCGTAATCCAACATACCACGATCGAAACCCATTGTGGGCTGCATGGATTTTTATCGTGGTATGGGACGTCGCAGGTCGACCCAGCCTCAAATGGGTACCAGGATGGGCTGTCCTGGGAAAGTAATGCTGACCACATTACCCACCGAGTGCCGACTGGTCTGTAAAAATATGGGTGCTCTTCCCATATGCCCGATGCACCTAAGGGCGTGTAAAGGGATCTTTATTTTACTTTACACTTTTCTGTATGCCAGATGATGATGATTAGAAAGAGATGTATTGTTATTGATGAAAACAGCATTCCTTGTTGTAAGTTTCATGTCTCTCCCAGCACTGTTAGTAACAAGTTACAAATCACTGTTAGAACTTTTGCCCTGCAAACCCTAGGATTACAACATGGCTGCAATATTTGCACCTTTTGGCAGACACATCCAACTTCTACAGTCATGTGTAACCCATGTTAGCCTTCCTGGGAAATAACCATTTTTTAGAGATCGCACACAAAATAAATGCATGCATGAGCGTTAAAGAAAATATAATATAAGGAGAGAAGTAATCAGTAGATTGAAGGAAGTGGATAATTAACTGGGTTACCTCTCTTTTACTATTAAAAACCATGTATATGTATACTTAAACTCGCACTTGTCCCCATAACCCTGTCTTCATGTTAGTTAGTTAGTCTTTCCTCTTGTGTCGAGTGCGGCACATAGGGCAGAGGTCGTGACTCTCCATGCACGGCGGTCCGTTGCAATCCGTTGTAGGTCTTGGATGTTTGAGTGGCCCATGAGCGAGCCTTCCCTGATGATAGTTCTACGTAGGGTTTCCCTTGGTCTTCCACGAGATCTTTTCCCCTGTGGTGTCCAAATGAGGGCTTGGTAAGGAAGTCTTGATTTATCCATTCTAAGGTAATAAAAGACTAATGAGATATTATGACATCAGCTTTTCTATTTAAAAAAAAAAATTTTTTACACACCCCACTGATAAATGCTGTTTTTAGTAAATATAATTCCCGGTCTTCCTAAACTTTTTGTGGAAACAATGCCAGTGCTCTTTCCTTGGCTTTTTATGAACAAGCCACTTTGGCAAGTGGGTGGAGTGATATTTACTGGGAAATGGTTTCAAGCCAAAGTGTCAGTTTTGTGGCTTTTGGGGTGACATGGTTAAGGATGCATTCCACATTTGTTATATGGATTATTTACTGAAGTATTGATGTTGTAAACAAGTATACAAGAACTGATTGGCACTCAGAAATATGTAGAGAGATAAAAGGATACATTAAACAACCTAACAATCAAAAGCTGTAGTTACCATGCAGGGAATCTGACCTATCACTTCGAATTGACTAAGGCAGCCTCACTGCAGAAACAGGTGCACTAAGACATACGGTCACACGGCAGCCCTGAAAATAAGGTGTCATCATAAGCCAGATGTATCATACAGCTTGAATCCACCCACAACTATGGAATACTGACAGAATTAATTTCAAACTATTGAAATATCACAATAGGTTACAAAAACTTATATTAACCAATCATGGATGGAATAACAAATGCAAACACTAGGCTGTGATGCTGTGTCTAGTCTATAACAACCATTTAAAGAAGAGAAATGATTGGTTGGTTCTAGTATGACATGTGCAGTGCACACAAAAAAACACACTGGCAATCAGTTTTTGTGTATTTGTTTACTACATCTACTGCCTAGGGGGTTCCCTGTCTGTTAACTTTTGTGTGTGATGCATTGATGTTGTATGTTTATTGCTGAACTTTCTCAATCACTATGACACTATGTTAATGTTGTTTTTTTCCCTAATGAAGAAGGTATATGAAAGATCCGCTGTATCATTTGCTGTTTTTTTTATTTATTTCAGCGGTCTTCTTATTCCTGGCTCCGTTAATGAGCAGAAGAGTTCTGATGCAGATGAAACATTGCCCAATTTACCGATGGATATTTCTTTGCTGTCACCACTCATTCCAGAAAGATTTTCCACGCCTCTGCCCACTAAAGGACAAATTCCCAACCTGGCAACATCTGCTTCTGCTAAAACTCCAAATAGATCGGTACCTGCCCCAGCACACTTTCAGAAAGGAGCTTTTTCAACTCCAGTAAATAGAAATCAGTCTGGCTCAGTGTCACATATAAAGCAAACAGCATCTCTAAAGAAGGGGGGAAATGTCCAGGGAAGTAAGAAGATGAAGCATAAACACTTGCAGGAGTTTCTCTCACAACAGTCAGCAGCAATGGCCACAAAAGCAGCATCACTTGCTGACTTTTTGTCCTCACTGTGATTTCCACAGATGTATCCATCACCATCATGTTGCTTGTCAAATGTTGTAGGTGTACATCTCTCCAGTAATCCTAGTCCTTGGTGTTGTGGATCTTTCTGTTGGTTTCGAAATGGCTAACCCAGACAACACATGTCTTGAAAAGTCAGATGTGTTGGCCGCAGTGCTTAAATAGCGTAGCCACACAGTAAATAGGCACAGCACAATTACATCTTTGAATTAACCAAGAAGAATTTTGTTGACCAGTTTCTTTCATGACATTTTCTTTGCATATTCATCATTGTTTCTATTGGTGAGCCTTCTCTCTAACTTCCGCTGATCTTTACAGTTGTCTCCCATGTGCTCCAGTAACACTCTTCTCTGCGCATGTCTTTTTTTTTTTTTTTATTGTCTGGGAAATTGAACGAATGAATGAACATTCTGTCCTTTTTTGTCCTATCTAGCACTCGATAAGTGATGTGGTCAAGATCATAACAGCTGTTTTTATGCATTAAGGCACATTTTTTTTAAACTTGGCCTTGGTTTTTAGGTCAGCCTGGCCTAAAATGGGTACCAAGTAGTGTCCTGGGAAGTAAAGGCAGCTTGTCTTTACCACATCACCCATAAAGTGTAATCCAGAAATATATCTGCTGGGTGTTTATCATCTGTTACATTTCATTCAAAATAAAATATAAACTCTTGTTATTGGGTGTTTGACTATTTCATTTTTTACCACATGTTCAACTTTTTATGTTGACTTGCTTGCTGTAGAAAATGTCTTTATCCTGAACACCAAAATCTGGTGCAATACTAAAAAACAAAAGCTGAAGTCGTATCACAGTTTTGAGCACAGTCTTATGGTGGATCTCTCAACCTATCAAAGATGAAAATGGCAGAGAATGAGAAGTAACAATTAACTCTTTAAGGCCCAAGCAACGGTGTTAGCGTTGTTTGAGAAGTTCCGTTTTGCCAAAACAACGGTGTCATCGTCGATAGTGTGTCCCGTATATTTTGCTTCGCACATGCCCCCTAACTAGTTTTTAATGTTCAGAGGTACGATTAAGCTATTCAGGGAAAGTCACTCTGCCGAAATTGTTTTAGTTTCATTTTCTAGCCTAATCCACACGTGCATAATTTGATAGAAATAACAGCCAAGTTTTTTAGACAGTGAATTTTCTGAGTTCGTTTTTGAGTGCCATGGATACCAATGTTCCAACCACAAGTACAGGTCGCAGAATGCATCTTTCTGCGGCTGAAGCTCTGAAATTGTTTCAGTCAGATGTTTTTAATTGTGATGATGATAATTAAAAATTTAGATTTTTCAGAAAGTGATTTTGACAGTGAATTTTTCCAGCGAAGCTGAGCGATCAGCTGTTTGGAATCTAGCGATTCTGATGAGTTTATTACACAGACAATGTCCCATAATACTGTATTTATGATGTAAGAGAAGGTAAGGGCTCTAAACAAATAGATTGTACTAAACTATGGCTAAGCTAAATTGAAATCATCACAGCTACAGTTTGTAAATAACTGTACAAAGTAAATAGTGTGTGTGAAATGGCTCATTTTCTGCCATTTTTTTCTCTGAAATTTTAATCAGTTCTCTGTGATACCCCAGAAAGTTATCATAACTTCTGAATATGTTAGGAAATTGAACAAACTTTGAAGTTTTGTTATCAAATTTGGATATTTACTACTCTTGTGGCTGCAAAACCATGGTAAGTGAAGAATTTTTGTGTGAAATGTTATCCTTGTGAAATTAACGCCTGCTGAATTCTTCTTTCCTACTAACTATAACAAAATTAAATAAACACTTATCAGATTCAACATGTGCATTCATTTCTCTTTTAAAAATATATACTTTTATAGGGATTAGAAGTATATTACATTCTCTATAGCCTTTTTTGTACATCCACCCCTCTGCCATTTTTGTAAAGGGAAATTAATGTGGGCCAAGTCTTCAAAATTCATGGGCCTGAAAGAGTTAAATTAAAAATCTGTTTATATCACCACTAATTACTGGTATCTTGAGGGCTAATATACTGCAATGTTTGGGGGATATGGAAAGAATAGCAGGTAACAGAGATATCATATAAAACCTACTTATAGAAAAAAAGGTGTACAGGACAGACCAGGAGCCACCATGGTATAGGGGCTAGACATGCGCCTGCGGATCTGAACGTTGTTGGTTCAGATCCTGATAGAGCCAGACTTTAAACAAAATTACCTTGGCTCCTAGATCGAACCAGCCATAAATGGGTACCAGCTAAAGTCCTCGGAAGTAAAGGCCTGATGCTGAACACATCACCCACCAAGTGCCGATTGGTCTATAAAATAAGTCTGAAGGCATTGGAAGGTTCCTTTACTTTTGCAAGACAGACCAAGAATACGAGGGAGAGATTATATACCATTGTCACTTTAAACTGGACAGTTTTCAAACCATCTAGGACGTTTTTCAAATCAAACTGGACAGTTTTCAAACCATCTAGGACATTTTTCAAATCAAACTGGACAGTTTTCAAACCATCTAGGACGTTTTTCAAATCAAACTGGACAGTTTTCAAACCATCTAGGACATTTTTCAAATCAAACTGGACAGTTTTCAAACCATCTAGGACATTTTTCAAATCAAACTGGACGATTTTCAAACCACCTAGGATGTTTTTCAATTCAAAGTGGACATTTTTCAAACAATTGAGGACGATTTTAATTAGGAAAGACAAGATGAACATATAACCAGACAATGACCGGTACCATTAGTATTTGAAGTCTGCACTGGCTGCTGAAGTTGGGGACAGCGCACATATGGGAATGCCCCGAGTGCTGTGATGTCAATTCTAGACTCAGCTTAACTATTACACTCAAATCTAATAAATCTTTACAAACTGTACTCTAATGAATAAATATTTGTTCATGAAGAAAAAATATGTAAAACACAGTGAGAAAGAAGGTGTTAAAATGACAGTTGGAGCAGAAATAGTTAGTGTAGTACATGAATAAGATCTGAACATCAAGGAAGATTGGCTAATAAACAGCATCCTTTCTCGAAAGCTGAAATATTTTGGTCATATCAAGCGCCACAACGGATTGGAAAAAAATTAGAGCAGACGGCATGGTACCTGGAAGGAGGGGCCGGGGCCGACCGACACGAAGATGGGCACAGGATATAAGTGAAAGTTCATGAGGCGGGAGAACTGGCGAGAGACCGAGCAATGAACCTCAAGCTGCCGAAGAACAGTGTAATGATTCAGTATGCCTTCTGGTCTGGATGGACGTCCACACCTTCAACGGTCGTCCGCACATTGTGAAGTAAATCGAACTTCGTCCTGTGTGCCTCTCCTGTGAGGGCGAGGAATCACTCCGTGGGCAGGACGTATCGGTACAGCTCCGCAATGCCTTAGATAGGCACCCCATGTGGGCCTATCACCACGCTGGTCAACCAGGCAGGCGTTGCCCTGGAGGCGGCATCGGCACCCGACAATGACACAACCATAGTACTACCTGTCCGGTGAATCCTTCCTCCAGGGAAAGCGTCAACTGGCAGGTCCATGGTTACCAAAATACCATGAGCTCGTGGCCGGTATGAGGAGAGACGAAGCGTGCGCAGGTATACGTGTTAAGGTATACTCTGCAGGTTTTCGTTGCTGTCAACACATCCTGATCCCCAATACAAACAAAAATGTCTTTTCACTGGAACCCCCAGGGTAAAAAAAAAACTACAAACACTCACGCATGCAGATATAAGAAAACTAAAGACAGTATTGAAGTGGATGGGGTGGGTGTGATATGGAGATGATATTACATGCGAGATAGTTCTTCTTCCACTTTCGTCCATAAAGGGGCAACTGACACAGTGTGTTGGGGTTTATAGCTAGGCTGCAACACTGTGTCTATCAGCCGTATACCTGATTCCAGCAAACCCCGAATTAGTGGACATTTACAGCGTGCTTGTCATAGGGAGCATCGGGTCCAGGACCCTGTCGTGCTATGATAGAGAATTGGTCGCATCAGGCGGTGATATAAGCAGTATGTTATTTTAAAGGAGGAAAACACAGAAGCACTTCTAAGACTTGCATCATACTGAGATAATCTACCGCGCGGCTATGTGAGTGTGTCAGCGACCCAATTTACTCTAATCATTTTATACGGCTCGCTAGGTAGACCAGCTAACAGACTTCACTACCCTGGACACACTTAAGACACACGCCTGCTGAGTACAAACATAATATTTAATGTACAATGAACAAAACGACTATAGACACCTCAACTAAGTAGGCAGTTCTCATCCGAAACCCCTGGCGTTGAGCAGCTTTTACATTCACTGGTCAACCCAAGCCGGTCCACATGGATTATTGAGAGCACGAGTCCTTACTAACAGTTTATCAGTGCTAACTAAGCCGCCGTCTATTGCCACGCGGGACTCAGCGAAACACGTAAGGTGTATGGCCTAAGCGTGACTGGGCAGTGTTACCGCCATTAACAATGCGTGTCACACCTTCACTAGCTGCTCAAACAAATACTGCATGGAATGTCTACTATACAAGGAACATTAACTCTACACTATTCTTCTTCTTCGTCTTCTTCTTCTTCTTCTTCTTCTTCTTCTTCTTCTTCTTCGCGTTCACCAGCTGTAAACTCTGGCGGAAGGTTCTGGTTGCTCGTCCACTACTGAACTGCAGTCCTGCTCCAGAACCTGAGTGTTGCGTGTGCATCAGTTTTACAGATCTCATTCTCTTGAATACAGACTGTTGATTCCTTTCCTCTCCGGCAGATGCACTCCGACTTCAAAGTAAGCTCCACAATTAGTCGACTCTTACGACATGCTTTTGGGGAGGCAGTGGGTCTATTCTTGTTTTCCCCACAATGGGGCCCCGGAACCCACACAGGGGACTCTACACTATCTAGTCGAAACATTAAATGGAAACACAGCCTAACAAAGATACTAAACACAAAAATCCTATTCAACTAACCGTCACTAACCTAATGTATTTTTATCTAGTCGAAGCGCTACGTCTTGTCTCGTCCAGTCCCACTACACAACTCTCCCCGAGTCCAGCTCTTCCAAAGCTTTTTGTTGGGGCCTGCGTTCACCACTCGACACGCGGTAATCCGTGTCAACTGTGTGAACTGGGCTTGGTCCGTTAACTCGACCCAGTTTATTCCGTGGTCAAACTGCCCATTCTCATACTGAGTTTTTACTGAAGGTCAACTCGTTCATACGTGATGATTCACTATCATCACCTCCGTTCTTCTTATAGCCGAACTGGCCTCTGACAGAGTGTAACCCACACCCCCCCCCCTTCTTTCTCACCCCCTTTACCACCACAACCAATTGAATCACAGAACCCACACAGGGATAAAAGACACGTAGGTGCATATTCTCCATTTGGGAAAATAAATTACAAACAGAAGAGCCGACCCGTGAAATGATTTTATTCCTTCCTCTTCTTAGTTTCCCTTTAAGAGGATATTTTGCACACTGTTGGGATTTACAGCTAGGCTGCGACACTGCGCCTTTTGGCCCAAAGCTCGGTTTTAGCAAACCTTTCATTAGTCGAGATTTACGACATGATTCTGACGAATCAGTGTGTTTATTCCCCCCCCCCCCCCCCCACCCTCCAGGAATCCTGGAACCATGGCTAGCTTATGCTGGAACCCGCCCAGCGATGTTTAAGTGTGTGTTCCATTTAGGAGAATAATGGACACAAAGACAGGCCCAGTTAGTTAGATAGTTGGGTTATCGTCATTGCACTCCGGACATATCCATAGGTGCTCAGATTCTCCCCCCTCTTCTTCTCCCCCCCCCCCCCCCCCAGTATGAACCACAGTCAGGTCCAATGCCTATGGATGGCTCGGCTAGTAGGAAGCGGAAGTTAGACTAAAAAGTTGTACTTTCTCACTGTTTTGTTTCGATATATTTCATCGTTCTATTCCTGCAGACGACTGACTATTGGCGTCACAGCTTTCTTACTTTTGTTTTGGATAAATGGTGAATATAGCACACATTTTACCAAAGACTTGCCTCAAGATTTGTCTTTAATAGCTTCAGATTTATGTTGTAATCTAATTCAAGTGTTTCTGTTGACGTTGTGTTCAGTTGGTTTTAATAGTTTTATATCTGATATCTCATTTGTTATTGTTGTATTTTTGTGACTTTGACTTTGATAATTTGAGAAAGGGATGAAAAGGGAAATGAACACAAAGTATACCATAATATAATTGGTCCAGAAATTCCATATACCTATTGTAGGATTATTTTCTTAACGCAAGCTGGTCTTGCTGGTCACATTCTGAATTCTTTAACATCATCATCATGTAGCAGGTCCTTTGCAGAACTTCGCTCTCATCACAGTCTGCCTGAAACAAATTTGGGCTCTCCTCCGAACGGCGTCCTAATATTATGGCGGCCATAAAATATCCTTACGGGGCTCAGGCATATGTAAAATGCAGACTTTCTGCCAAGGAACAAATCGCGGCAAAACTAGGATTACTTGACAATTTCAAGAGATGCAACATTGCAGACGATAGTAGCAGACGATAAAAGCGACTGTTGACAATTTTGAGTGTTTCTGCAGACGATACTTGCAGATGATAGTAGCGACCATTGACAATTTTGAGACATTACAGATGATGAAAGCGATATGGCGGGTAGACCACGCGCTCCCACGCAGAATAGCAATTCTGTTCTTCCAATTGAGGATTTAGCAGCGGTAGATGTCAGACCTGCCGACCTGTATCCTCACACTTTTCGGCATGCGCAAAACGCGATTAAACTCACCACCGAGCGTATCCCCTGCGCCGCAACGCACAGCGCGGATGGGGGGGGGGGGGGGGGTGGGGGGGGGGGGGGTGCTAAACTAGGTGCCTGGGACTTACGAGCAAATTTGTTGGAGGAAGTTGCTGCTGCTGCCCATGAGTCCCAGCCATGTAGTTTAGCCCCTATCTGCGCCGCGTGTAGCGGCGCAGGGGATACGGTTGGCGGTTAGAGCATTTGTTTCATTATACGGAGCCGGCATATTTTGAATAGAACTGAGCCTCGTAAGGATATTTTATGGCCGCCATATTATTAGGACTACGTTCGGAGGAGAGCCAAAATTTGGTCTCTCGCCAGTTCTCCCACCTCATGTGTTTTCATACCCAAGGATTCACTTATTTCCTGTGCCCATCTTCTTGTCGGTCGGCCCCTGGCCCTCCTTCCTGGTACCATGCCTTCTGCTATAATTTTTTCCAATCCATCGTGTCGCTTGATATGACCAAAATATTTCAGCTTTCGAGACAGGATGCTTTTTATTAGCCAATCTTCCTTGATGTTCAGATCTTTCAAGTTGTCAGTATTTCTCCTCTTCCAATTGTTTATATCACCTGGAATATGTGGAATTATTTAGAGGAGGGAAGCAGAATGTGAGAGTATCTGGTTTATTGCCTTGTGGGAAGAAAGGAGAAGGACATAGAAGCACTTTCACTTACTTTGTGAACTATTGATTGAACTGAAGCAAACTGCATTGGACAGAAAGCCATACCTGAGTCAGTTTTTTTTTGTCGTAAATGTTTCTGTTGGTTTTTTATAATTATATTCAAGTTGTGCTTCATTATATGTTGATTTAACTTTGTAGTAAATGAACCTGAGGAGATACCGCGAAATATGCCAGGTAATAAATAATTTACAGTCCAGCAGCTGGACTGAGTGGTTTATGCATTTCACCAAGAAAAGAATTCATTTTGGGCTTCATTATGTGTTGATAATTATATTTGATATTTGTTTTAAATAATTTTTATGTTTTTGATAATTATGGTAATTTTTTCATAATGATTGCTGTTAATTTTTCATAATAATCTCTGTTAATTTTTCAGAGACCCCCATGAACAAAGATGGCCTCGCTGACACAGTCCTTCTATGAAGACTGGGCTAACTTACCTGATCCCATATTGACACAGATATTTTCCTACCTGTCGGTGGTGGAAAGATGCCGTGTGGGTGCCACTTGTAAGCACTGGCAGCAGTGTCTGGAGACGCCACAGCTCTGGAGAAGCTTTAACTGTGGATTTTACCTCCCAGCTCATGGGAAACTCTTCAGGTGTGTCGAACAGTATGGCCACTTTATCAGTAGGCTGACCATATTTCTAAACCAGAAAGAGGCTGAAAATCGAAAAAATGCTATTGCCGTCTTGGAACATTTGAGCAGTTTGGAGAATATCCATCTGTCGTACTTGTCAATTGTATTTAAGGGGGAGAACCCCCTCTTTTATGGTGGCCATGAATTTATTTTAGCTTTACAAAATCTGTTGATCAAAATTGGGGAGAAAAAAGAAAAATCTACACTGAAGCATTTGAATCTCAGTGGCTTGTTAGCAAATTTCAATGATGATTTTATTGACAGGATTTCTGCAAATTGCCCTAATTTGGAATATTTGAATATTTTGAATAAAATTTTGGTGTGCAGTGTTTCTCCATATTGTATTATGAATTTGGTCTTAAAATGCAAGAAGCTTCAGGTGTTGCATCTATACCATACCAGTTTGTCTGATGATGTTCTCAAAGCTTTGGCAGAACCTGGCAGGAAACCTTTGCAGAGACTGGGGGTAGTTTGCAGAAGACACGAAAAGTATGGAGATGATCTTACTTCAGAGGCATGGTCAGGTCTTCTTCACGCAAACCCAGGTTTAAAAGTCGAGTTGGGTTTTGACCATACCTGCCCACTTCATAGAATCTCAGAAATTATGAAACCTGAAATCCCCGTACAGGAACTCCACCTGGCCACATTCACTCGCATCTACCCAGAAATCAACACGGCAGTGGCCTATTATGAACATACGCTGGAGAAACTTGTTGTTCAAACCAGACCATCGAGAGAGCTTCAAGAATCCCTTTTGAATGTAGCTCAGAGGTGCAAAAAACTTAAGGCCTTGTACGTCTACTGTGTCCTGGAGAAAGAAGTAATTGATCGGATTTTGGAGCTATGTCCTTTGATGAGAGAAACGAGAAATTACATCCTTAAATGGACGATGGATCCAGAGCCATGGACTGTGGGAAAAGAAGAAGGCGACTGAATACGAAACAAATCTATAGTTTGCAGCACTGCAACAGTTACATTGCTATAAGCTTTGGCTTTTTGATTGTAGTAGTTTGTATTTATGCATTGCAATGTTGTTATATTGGTGATCTGTGCAATAGTTAATGTTATTTATTATGATATGGACAAATTATGTTATAATTTCTGTGCAAGCCATTAGAGTTATAGTATCTGGAACAGGGCACATTGCTTATCCACGAATACTGTTGGTGCCGTTTAAAATAAATTCAGATTTTGAAAGATATTTAGCTTGCAAATTTCTCTCCAAAAAAGTTTCTCTTGATGAGTTAAGACTAAGCTTCTGATCTTTAAAACCAAGATCAGATCAAATTCAGAGAATAAGAAAAGCAAAGCACTTTTTTCCCCATTGTTAATTTAAATAATGAGAACAACATATTGCACAGACAATATATTGCACAATTTATTGCCTGGAATATATTGCTGTGTTTTGTAAGATGCATTACTGCATTAACCCTACCAGACCTGAGGCCCTGAACCTAACTGTCCCTATAAATTGAGCTCCTGGGCATTACCGTGAAAAAAACAATATGATATACAAAAATATTAGTTACATGCAAACGAGTGGCTAGAATATGATGAAACTTGGAGACATTGTAGAAAATAGGCTTACTTTTTATCTAGCGACAATATTCCACCTTTGTGTGCGAATTCACTCATCAGGATAAACTTTGTTTCACAAAGTGAACACCAGATGTTGCCATTTGATGGACACACCCCCGTCTCCTACTATTGATCTATTTCAAGATTTATAATTTTCAAGATTTTCCTCATCATTTGCGCTCTCACTGACAGTGTCACTTTCAAGAACGTATTCTTTATGAAATTATCACAGATAATGAATATATATATATATATATATATATATATATATATATATATATATATATATATATATATATATATATATATATATATATATATATATATCACAGAGTCTGCATAAACCAAAGTATTGATCAGCTGTTGGACTGTGAAAAGCCTAGAACTTGGTTCATCAGCCGCTTGTTTCATTGTGAATTTTCATGATTTTTCCACGTAAAACAACACACATATAATCCACACATGCGGGCAGACATTTGCAATGTCTAACAAAGAGGATTGATAACGATTGGGTAGTTATTTTTAGTCCGTGACTCATCGTTTTTCCGTACTACGCAAAAAGCCACAAATTAGCACCAGCGGTATAGAGACTGTTTAAGAAATTCCCGGTAAACCGGGCCAGCGGTCTGGCAGGGTTGAAGAAGCACAAAGAAATTTTTTTAACATTATATTTGTCTGACCACAGATCTCGGAATAACAATGGGATCCTTTTGTTTACATTGTACAGGATTGCCTATCCTAATTGCTATGGCTTTTGCCAATTTTAATAAATGCCTATTTATTGTGTGATAAAAAGAGAAGCAGAGCACATCCAAAGATGGCTACATACAAATAGATCAGATAAGCTCATTTACAAATAAAGGAGATCCTACAAATAAGTAAAATTGTTCTTCCACAGCATGTCATTTGCTTAACACTGGGCACATGACTGGTAGGTATTGTTCCTTCAAGGTAATTTATCACACAGTAAATAAGTGTTTATTAAAATTGGCAGAAGCCATGACAATGAGGATGGGCAGTCCCTCATTATGCAGAAGGATCTTAGTCATCCATTATGTGTTGTACAGTGTGACCAGAGACTGTGATTTGCATTTGTGAATTAGAAGGATTCATGTTTTGTGTTTCCTTAAATGTAGATATAAATTCTGTAAAAATGTACCTGACAAGACAGAAAAGACTCTGCTTAACAATAAATTGTTTGTGGCTTTATTTTTATTAAACCTACATATGCTGAGAATACTATATAGTCAGAACCAAGTCAGGGGGCCCCACCAGGTAAAACAGATTATGTGGTTTGGGAAAGTTAAGAAGAAAAAAAATTAGGTGTTGACTTCAGTTTTCAGGCATGGCTCTTAATGTATGGGGCTTACACTATAGATACAAGGCAGGGACTATTTTCATTGACCCAAGCTTTCGTTTATTGTTTGTTTTAGTATCCAGAAGCCATGAGTTGTTAACCCTTAGGCTCGGTATTATGGATATCGCAACCTTTCGGCCTTGATTCCATTGTAAATACCGTAAATCTGGGAGAAAATGCGACTTTTCTGCCTACCTCCGGGAGTGAACCTGGACCACAAGGAGTTCTTCACCCGGTCTCCGCGAAGTCCGGTTTAGCCAACTAGGCTAGACAGCTGGGCTACCCAAGCTTTCAAATGTGACAGCTGGAGGAAGAATAATCGTGGTAAAGGTGAACCACAGGTGTGCATAACCAGCTGTCCACTGGAACTGCTAATGTTTTCGCTCCTTACTAACTTATAAGGGACGTACATGTATGTCCTGGTTTTTTTTCATAGAAAACAGGTGTTGGTGCTCACTGCAGAGTATTTTTTTATTTTTAAAACATGAAAGTACTCACCTCATTGAGTTTATACTACATTAGAGCTGAAAAATTATGCCTGCAGAAAAATAACACATTCAGACAAATTCCTTGCAGCTCAGCTGTGTTGTTTATAAAATAAGCAGATATAATGACACACTGTTGCAAGACTTTTGGGTAATCATATTTTTAAATAATCATATTTCATGTCTGTGATAATATAAAATTATTATTTTTATATGTACAATTTTTCTATCTTAATGTTGTCTGTTTATGTATGGGAGTATTTATTTTTACAAAAGGATAGATTTCGTCTTGTAGCGGGCCTGTGTAGGGTAATATTTGAATAGACATATCTTTCTATGAGCGTGCGATCAAAGAAAGACTTCCCTTTAATAATACAGCATACAATGAGAACAGTGTGCAGGCTGAAAGAACGTAGTCTTATGGACTGCAAGTCTAGGGTATGTAGAGACGGTGGAGGATATAAAAGAGAGATAACAGCTGCCCACACACTAAAGTTTAATGGAAAGAGGCAGACAGACTATGGAGACATAATATACATGCTAATCTTCATACAACTGGTGTCACCAACTCTAAAAAGAAGGCCAATTATAGAGATGATTGGAGCGGGTGATGTCTGCAGCAGCGAACCTCAAGGGCTGGGACTGTTGAAGAATAAGAAGATCAGTTACAATTACAGTTTTAAAATGTAGCCAAACAGAGGTTGCTGAGAGTAGCTAGCCTCTATTTGCTTCAGTGACTAGAGAGGGCGATGTAGCACTGCTGTGTGTAAATAAATGCATTAATGTCATGTCTGTTAAGCAGTCACTGATATTTATTTTAACTTTTTAGTATACATGTGCTGAGCTATTTTTTCCCTGTTGAATTCTTTTTCTTCTTCTGTCATCTCACTGATACAAGGTTGTTGCTCAATGTCGCTATTTTCTGTATTTGTGTTGTGCTTTTCAGGTGGCCTGGGTGATGGATTTGTTCATCTTTATGCAGGTTTCAGCTACAACACCATTTATCTATATCTTTCTTGGCCTTCCTCCCATATGTTCTACTGTAAAAAGTTTCTTATGCACTTTGATTTGGCTGACTTTGATGGCCAAACCATTTCTTTCTTTGTCAATATAATCCAGACATTGTCTTATTCAAACTTTCTCTCTAATGCTGGTATTCCTAACTCTGTCAGTTTAATTAACACTTTCTATATCCATGTGGGTTCATTTGCCTTATTTGTACCCCTGCCCCACCCCCTATCAAGCAGCCCCACACCCCCTATCAAGCACATCTTAAAATTTGACTTGTTTGGGGTGTTTCCTACGAAGTCATAGTGTATCTGCCTGAAAATCAAGGAACTGATAGTATGCATAGACATAAGCCATATCTGTGACAAAGAAACTAATAGTATGCACACACATCAGCCAGATCTGTGACAAAGAAACTGATAGTATGCATACTCATCAGCCAGATCTGTGACAAAGGAAATAATAGTATGCACACACGTAAGCCAGATCTGTGACAAAGGAACTGATAGTATGCATACACAGAAGCCAGATCTGTGACAAAGGAAATAATAGTATGCATACACGTAAGCCAGATCTGTGACAAAGGAACTGATAGTATGCATACACATAAGCCAGATCTGTGACAAAGGAACTAATAGTATGCATACACATAAGCCAGATCTGTGACAAAGGAACTGATAGTATGCATACACATAAGCCAGATCTGTGACAAAGGAACTGATAGTATGCATACACATAAGCCAGATCTGTGACAAAGGAAATAATAGTATGCATACACACAGGCCAGATCTGTGACAAAAGAACTGATAGTATGCATACACACAAGCCAGATCTGTGACAAAAGAACTGATAGTATGCATAGACATAAGCCAGATCTGTGACAAAGGAACTAATAGTATGCTTACACACAAGGCAGATCTGTGACAAAGGAACTAATAGTATGCATACACATAAGCCAGATCTGTGACAAAGGAACTAATAGTATGCATACACATAAGCCAGATCTGTGACAAAGGAAATAATAGTATGCATACACACTAGCCTGATCTGTGACAAAGGAACTTATAGTATGCATACACACAAGCCAGATCTGTGACAAAGGAACTAATAGTATGCATACACACAAGCCAGATCTGTGACAAAGGAACTAATAGTATGCATACACACAAGCCAGATCTGTGACAAAGGAACTAATAGTATGCATACACACAAGCCAGATCTGTGACAAACAAACTGATAGTATGCATACACACAAGCCAGATCTGTGACAAAGGAACTGATAGTATGCATACACATAAGCCAGATGTGTGACAAAGGAACTAATAGTATGCATACACACACGCCATATCTGTGACAAAGGAACTGATAGTATGCATACACATAAGCCAGATCTGTGACAAAGGAACTAATAGTATGCTTACACACAAGCCAGATCTGTGACAAAAGAACTGATAGTATGCATACACACAAGCCAGATCTGTGACAAAGGAACTAATAGTATGCATA